AAATTACTTTTAAGGTTTTTTAAACATTTTAAATAATATTTTTGTACAATTTTTTTTACCCGTTACTTAAATGTAACTTATTAATCAACTCAATTATATAAAAATGAGAAGTTAAAAGTGTCTAATTAGCATTTTTTTTAAAGGTTTATTTGCATTTTAGCGTATAGATAAAGGGATTTTCTGACAGTATTTTGAAAGGAAAAAAAAAAAAAAAAAAGAGACATGGATGGTCCATGTCACAATGAAAGGAGCCTAATTTATGGGATAAACTCCTTCTTATCAAGGTAACTAGTTTTTTTACGCGTTTTGCGTGAATGGGATAATGCCCAATGATTATTTTTAAATAAGTATTTCAAAGTATATCAACGCAATATTATATCGGAGATGTTCATGCATATGTAAATAAATATTGAATTTGTTTATTTAAATCGGTAATTCAAAATATATAAATGCAAGATAATATTTATTGAATTTTCTAATCGATATTTGGTAGTGGTAGTTTTCCCCTACATGTTTCATGCATTGTGAGATGTGTGTCGTAGGTTATCATGTGAAAGTATTGAACAAAATATTAATATTTATTATAGTTGTATAAAATACTTGGTAAATAAATATATATAATGTATTTTGTGTTATAACTTTGATATTTAATTACAAGATAATGTAAAAAGAAGACAATGGACAATGCAGTGAATATAATAAATTAATAAATTTGAAGGTAATGAATCTTTGAATTGTAGAAAATAAAGATAATATAACTAATGAAATTATATCTATTTTTTAATTTTTTATAATGAATAACTTTTTTTTAAATAAAAGCATTATAGACATCTAATTCTAAATTAATTAAATGCATATGTATTATTTTCTGTTGTAGCTACTACTTTATTTAGCTTAAGAGCAATAAAGTGGGCAAATTATGCTATGGAACCGTGTCCACCTTGCAAGGTGGACATGCATATCGGAGATGTTCATGCATATGTAAATAAATATTGAATTTCTTTATTTAAATCGGTAATTCAAAATATATAAATGCAAGATAATATTTATTGAATTTTCTAATCGATATTTGGTAGTGGTAGTTTTTCCCTACATGTTTCATGCATTGTGAGATGTGTGTCGTAGGTTATCATGTGAAAGTATTGAACAAAATATTAATATTTATTATAGTTGTATAAAATACTTGGTAAATAAATATATATAATGTATTTTGTGTTATAACTTTGATATTTAATTACAAGATAATGTAAAAAGAAGACAATGGACAATGCAGTGAATATAATAAATTAATAAATTTGAAGGTAATGAATCTTTGAATTGTAGAAAATAAAGATAATATAACTAATGAAATTATATCTATTTTTCAATTTTTTATAATGAATAACTTTTTTTTTTAAATAAAAGCATTATAGACATCTAATTCTAAATTAATTAAATGCATATGTATTATTTTTTGTTGTAGCTACTACTTTATTTAGTTTAAGAGCAATAAAGTGGGCAAATTATGCTATGGAACCGTGTCCACCTTGCAAGGTGGACATGCATATCGGAGATGTTCATGCATATGTAAATAAATATTGAATTTCTTTATTTAAATCGGTAATTCAAAATATATAAATGCAAGATAATATTTATTGAATTTTCTAATCGATATTTGGTAGTGGTAGTTTTTCCCTACATGTTTCATGCATTGTGAGATGTGTGTCGTAGGTTATCATGTGAAAGTATTGAACAAAATATTAATATTTATTATATTTGTATAAAATACTTGGTAAATAAATATATATAATGTATTTTGTATTATAACTTTGATATTTAATTACAAGATAATCTAAAAAGAAGACAATAGACAATGCAGTGAATATAATAAATTGAAAAATTTGAAGGTAATGAATCTTTGAATTGTAGAAAATAAAGATAATATAACTAATGAAATTATATCTATTTTTAAATTTTTTATAATGAATATTTTTTTTTAAATAAAGACATTATAGACATCTAATTCAAAATTAATTAAATGGATATGTATTATTTTTTGTTGTAGCTACTACTTTATTTAGTTTAATAAGAGTAATAAAGTGGCGTATATACTTTTCATCAACAATAATGCAATCATTGATTTTTTAAAAAAAAATACATACAAAAAATATTAATGCAAAAGTATAATTGAAATATTAAGTTTTTTTTTTCTGATCTAAATAATCAAAAGAATATTAAGTTTTTTCTGATCAAATGATTTTTAAAGTTCTTGATTTATAATCTTTGATGCTTAACTTTGAATGTTATGTATTTAGTCAGACTAATTATTTGAACAAAGTTTATGTTAAATTTTATATTATATATATTTTAAATATATTTTAACATATTCGTAGTATATGTTTAACAATTATGCCAACTCTAATTAGGATGTGGTTCGAAACTAAGACTTTTCTTATAGAAATTAATGTGTAAGTTAAAATAATAAATACTTAACGGAATATTCCATTACTAAAGTTTATGCTAACGGAATTTAAGTTATTTAAGGAAAGACAATAATATAATAGATGGTAAATAAGGAAAATAAATAAAAAATACTAAAATAAAAATAATATGAACCATTCATTTTAAGAAACAATAGTATAATATGAACCATTCATTTTAAGAAACAATAGGACCGACATTTTTTTGTTCCAGTTAAGGGCCTAACATTATTGACTCTTATTAGAATTGTAGTATGTAGTATATATGATAGATTTGTCTTTATAAAAACGATAAAAAAAAATGGTAAAAGAGGACCAACAAAAAAAGAGTGAAGAGAAATTTAATTAGAGTAATTGACATCTTTAGTCCTTTGACAATGATCTTATCATTGCATTTAATTCTCAATTATTAATCTTCTCCCAAAGATTGAATCCCTAACCTCAAGGATCCCCTAAACTTTAATCCGACTAAGTATTTGAGAGGATGTAAATCACAGTAACACTTTTTTTTGAAAGTTAAATCACAGTAACACAATTATTAATCTTGTTACATTTAGTACATAACTATACTATTTTTTGGTTAAATTTTGTCACATTTGATAAACCAAATGTCTATCAATTATCAATCATATAAGTTGTTTTTCCCTTCTTTTCTTTGAGAAAGATTAAGGACAAACTGAGAAGTTATCTTTTTAAGTTTAAATACACACTACTATTATTTAAAAATAATTCAAAATTGATAAAAGTAGAAAATGTAACGCTGATGGAGAAAATTCATTTCTTCATAGATAGAAATGAACGATAATGATTACGACACAAAGATTTAACGTGAAAACCCTAATGATTTAACGAAATGAATACACATTAATATTAATTATAAAAAATCAAAATTGAAGGAAATGTAAACAAAAAAAAAAAAAAAAAATCTAACGTTTGCCGCCACTCTATAAACAAAAATCACATACAGTTTCATATTCTCTTCAATTTTGAAAGGTTTTAGTAATGCTTGCTTGTGTGTATTTAGACTTAAAAAAAAATTGTTCTTAATTTTTTTTTTTTTTTTCAAATTAGAGAAAAATCAGCACTTTTTAAAAAAAGAAAAATTATTTACTAATAATGATCAACATTTAATCGTTAATCTAAATAGTTAATTTTACCAAACATTTTAGGGTAAAAGTAAAAATAAGTCATTTAATTATTTGAGAAATAACACTTAAACCACTCAATTCAAATAAGCTTCAAATAAAATTTTGAAACCTGCAAAATATTGAAATTGACATTTTTACCAGGTAACTTGCAGGTTTCTTGGAGGAATGGAATTTGAGATATTGAAATCCAGTCAGGAGCAAGTCATCAACTGAGTTTTGGGCGATGCAGAGCTAAGAGGTCTTATTACTGAGCACATTGATAATATTCGCAAGTGGCTTAATGAAAGTTGGAAGATTTCACAAGGAAAAAATTTTCGCGAGGAAAACGATTGTGCAGATGCCCTTGCCAACTTGGGCGCGAACATGAACGTGGAATGGCGCGATCTTGAGTGGTGCTCCCCTGGGATGGAAGAAAATCGCCTTTGTGCGAACTGTTCTCGTAGTGAAAGGAGTTTGTTGGGATGATTGAGTTTGTTGTAATATCTGGTTGGGATGATTTGCGTTTTGCGATTGAATTTCTTGAGGATATGTATGCAATCCGGCTCTCTGTCTTCTCTTTAGCCTCATGTTCAAGTAATTCTTAGATCTCATTATCTGATCTTCCACATCCCCAACAACAGCACAACACATAACTCTTCATGAAGAAGATTAAGTGTCAATTTATTTTTTAAAATTTTAAATTCACGTGTAAACCTAGTAAGTAAAAACCTGCAAGTTACCTGTTAAAAATGTCAATTGCAACATTGTATAGGTTTCATAAATTATTTGGAGCTTATTTGAATTGAGTGGTTTAAGTGTTATTTTCCAAATGAGTTAATTCTGAAAATGGTCTTCCGACTATGGCCTTTTCTCAAATTGGTTCATTGACTTTCAATTGCATTCAAAGTGGTCCTCCGACTATTGAATTTTAAGCCAAAATGATCCTTAGTTAGTTTTGGTGTTAGGTGGGTGTTAAAATGAGGGGTAAAACTGGTAATTTAGGGTTTTTACTATAGTCAAAGGACTACTTTAGGTGCAATTAAAAGTCAAAGGATCAATTTGAACTATCTTGTTAATATTTTAAAAGAAAAATTGATTTTTATGAACTATCTAGTTAATATAATCTAAAAGTTTCAATTGTGTATTATCGTATTTAAATTAATATAAAATACTTAGAGTTGATCTAATTAAATTAAAAAGTATCTATGAATGAGAAACGATGGAAGAAAAGCTCTCGACTCAACGTTCCTCAGAAGATCTTGATCTCCTGGAACGAAGCACGAAGAAAACCAAACGGTCCGATGAAGGGCGGGCAACAATGGAATATACAGAGATGCAAATGGTGGAGGAGGTGGTGATCGTGCCTGAGACGCCGATCGATGCGATGGGGGAGGTTGGCGTGGCCTCTTAACCGATGCTCGCGGTCACACCACGTAGGACTTATGCGGAGAGCGTGGCTGGAATCAGTGCATCACCCGGTGATCAGGGAACGGATCCTTGCGATCCAGCGGACGTCTACGCCGAGATTGAGGCGGAGGAGGATGACGATCCTCTCTGCCCTACGATCAGGCTAACAAAGGAGGAGGTGGAGAAGATTCGGGCCCCTTGGCGGAAGACCTTGATCGTCAAAGTGCTGGGCAGAAAGGTAGGCTATGCGTACATGATGCGGGGACTCTCGGCCATGTGGAAGCCAAAGGGGAGCTTGGACCTCATTGCTTTGGATAAGGACTATTACCTGGTGCGGTTTGGATCAGTAGATGATCTGGAGTACGCGATGTATGAAGGTCCATGGATGGTGATGGATCATTACCTCATTGTCAAGCCAAGGGAGCCGGATTTTGATCCCATGAATGATACAACCGAGAAGATCCTGGTATGGGTACGTATTCCTTGTATTCTCGTTGAATATAATGATATTATTTTTCTCAGGAAGCTGGGGAATCGCATTGGGCGCACAGTACGCGTAGATCAAGCAACAAGCCTGGTTTCACGTGGAAAATTCGCTAGGATATGCGTGGAGACCGACATGCGTAAGCCTCTAATCTCTAAGTTCACTTATGAAAAGAAGGCGCGTCATGTCGCTTATGAAGGCATGCACATGGTCTGCTTCGAGTGTGGACTCTATGGACATTCAAATGAGACATGCCCGCGATTAAGGAAGGAGATGGCTGAACAGGCACCTGAGACGGAGAAAGAGGCTGATATTCAATCGACAAAAAAGGCGATCACTGCAGCAAAGGACCCCAAGATTCCTTTCAGCACGTGGATGATAGCGCCAAAGCGGGGTGGCAAGCCTCAGATGGTGACATCTGGACGTAACCAAAGATCGACGACTGGCCAAGGAGGGGGACCGAAGAGCAGATCAGGTGTGGGTGTCCAGGTTTGCACCTCTGGTTACGGAAGAGAACGAGGGGGATGTTGAGGGGATTCTGCATGGAGATGTGGCGGAACCAGAAGTTGCAGAAAACTATGGACAAGAAAGGCCGGCTGGAGCATCTGAGCGGGTGAATGAAAGGGGAACGCGACAGTTGGCAGTAGGCGGTGAAAGAGGCCGGAGACCTAATGTCGTAACTTCGGAGAAGCAGATCGCGAATGATCCGGTGGTGGCGCAAGGGGTACAGCAAAATGTAGAGGACTCAAGGCCTAGAATTCGCCGGGAAAGCGGCGGGAGCTTACGACGGGCAGCAGAGGAGGATGAGCACGTGGTGGTTCGAGGGGAAAGAGGGGGGTTGGTAATACGATCGTCAAGGGTGTACGTGGGGGACACTGGCGGCGATGTCCCATCACCGGTGTGGCAACCCACAAAGGAACATCACAGTGACCCGCCAGGTAACTTTGACGATGAGGGTGATGTGGTCATGGACCTGGAAGATGGTCTTGCGCAGCACGGGATTGGAGGTAACGGGGGAACTCAGTGAGCACCCCGGATTGTGGCTTTCTAGCTTTGTTTTATTTGATTGATTTCTTTCTTTCGTCTCTGCCTATGCTTTGTTTTATGGATTGCATCTTTTGGAACTGTCAGGGTGCAGGTGGTAGGCCGTTCCTTCGCACCCTTAAACACATTCTGACGACACACAAACCCAGTATTTTGGGTCTTTTTGAACCCAAAGTCTCGGGGATCCAAGCAAACGCCGTCTGCGTGAAGCTGGGTTTCTCGGACTAGATCTGAGTGGAAGCCGTTGACTTCAGTGGTGGCATCTGGGTTTTCTGGAAAGACCCGATGCAAATAACGAGCCTTAAGACTCACCCTCAGTTCATCCTTTTGCAGGTAGTGACCCAAAACCAGCCGCCATGGTTCTTAGCAGCAGTGTATGGGAGTCCGACCCATCACCTGAGACGGAGACTTTGGACCGACCTTCGCCAATCGAATCTTGGCATAAATGGACCCTGGCTCATAGCTGAGGACTTCAATACAGTCTTAAATAGGGAAGAAACGAGCAACTACAGCTCATTCTCATCCCACCACAGCTCAGACTTTGCGAATTGGATTCAAGACGAAGGGCTGATTGACATGGGCTTCACGGGGCCCAAACTCACATGGGTCAAAGACGGTACAAATGAAACGCTGAAAGGAGCCAAACTAGACCGAGCCATGTGTAATACGGAATGGCGCCTGCGGTTTCCAGGTGCGTGCGTAACCCATTTAGCACGTGTGGCATCTGACCATGCTCCTTTGTTTATCCAGGTACAAGGAAGACGGCAGGCCAAGGAGCCGGCACCTTTCATCTTCCAAGCCGTGCGGCTCACTCATTCGGACTTACATGGTCTAGTGGAACGATTTTGGAGGCACAATCTTAGCGTGCCGGAGAATGCACGACTCCTTGCGACCGAATTAACAACTTGGAATAAAGTTTTTTTTGGTTGTGTGTTCAAGAGCAAGAGGTCCATTATTGCGAGACTAAACGGGATCCAGAAAGCAATGGCTCTCAATTACCATAAGGGTCTAGCAAAGCTGGATTTGAAGCTTAGGGAGACCTTGGCAGACATCCTTCACTAAGAGGAGCTAATATGGTACCAAAAATCACGGGAAGACTGGATAAACTCTGGGGATCGAAACACGGCATACTATCATACCGCCACGGCAGTACGGAGAGCCCGGCAGTCAGTGAACAGGCTCTTGGATAAGAATGGTGACTAGATCTCGAGGGACACGGGGCTCCGGGAGCACGTCCGCAACTTCTACGTCAAGCTATTCTCGAACGAGTTTGGCAGAGTTCTAAATGTTAACATGTATGTAAACTTCCCACGCCTACGACCGTTGGATTGGGCGTGTTTCAATAGACAAGTGTCAAAGGAAGAGGTCCACAGTGCCATCAAGGACATGAAGCCTTTCAAGGCACCGGGACCTGACGGGTTCCAAGCAGGTTTTTACCAAAACACTTGGGACAAAACTGGCGATAGTATTTTTGGACTTGTCAAAGAGGCTTTTGAAACAGGCAAGCTACCGGAAGGACTCAATGACACCCTTATTGCGTTGATTCTTAAGGTCAGGGCCCAAGAAACCATCAAGCAGTTCAGGCCCATTAGCCTGTGTAACGTTAGCTACAAGATCATCACGAAGACTATTACCAACAGGCTCAAGCTCATTTTACCTAAAATGGTGGGACCTTTCCAGAGTTCGTTTGTCCCGGGGCGACAGATCTCGGATAACGTCCTCATCTTCCAAGAAGTCATGCACACCATGCGAGAAAAACGAGGAGCGAAGGGGCTAATGGCGATCAAATTGGATCTTGAAAAAGCTTATGATCTTCTATCTTGGAGCTTCATTCACGACACGTTGGAACATGTTGGCTTCACCTCAGTCTTAAAGGACCTCATTATGACCTGCACCAGTACCTCGAGACTCTCGGTTATTTGGAATGGGGAACGGCTGGAGCCTTTCCACCCTGAACGAGGCATCAGGCCATGACGCCGGCCATCTTCGTCCTATGCATCGAGAGGCTAAGTCATCTTATCGCCTCTAAGGCGAACAACCGAGTTTGGAAAGGTATTAAGCTTGCACCAAATGGACCCGTACTGACGCATCTTTGTTTTGCAGATGACATGATCCTCTTCACGGAAGCGACTCTCGATTAAGTGGATGTGGTCAAAGACTGCCTTGATTGTTTCTGCAAGGCTTCGGGGCAGAAGATAAGTCTGGGAAAGTCACAAGTTTTCTTCTCCAAAAACACAGAGCAAAGTCTTGCGGACGAGATTGCAAGCCGTTTAAACATCGCGAGAACAAATGACCTAGGGAAATATCTGGGGGTCCCAGCTTTACACAGGAGAGTAACTTGCAATACCTTCTCGGATCTGATGGACAGAATCACCAATCGTTTAGAAGGGTGGAGATCGAAGAACCTCTCGCTGGCAGGTCGAGTTGTCTTGGCCAAGTCAGTTCTGAACGCCATCCCAGTTTACACCATGCAGACTGTGGCTCTACCTAAAAGCTTCTGTTTGGAAATTGAGAAGAAAAAAAGACGTTTCATTTGGGGTGGCAGCGCAACGGAAACTAGAATGAGCCTGGCGAATTGAGAGTTGGTAACGATGCGCAAGGAGGATGGTGGTCTGGGTGTGAAACGTTTACATGAGATGAACATGGCTTACATGGCGAAGCTAGGATGGCGGCTCAAGACATAACAGAATAGTCTCTGGGCTCAGACTCTTAGCACGAAATATAGGACGCCCGGAGAGGCCCAAGGCGGCAGATCGGGGAGGCGGAAAGTTTCTAATGCATGGAGAGGCATTATAGCAGCGTGGGACGACATGAACAAGGGTCTGACTAGCGTTGTTAGGAGTGGCAATAACACGAGATTCTGGATGGAGAAATGGCTAGGGTCGGACCCCCTCTACGCGAACTTAAGTGTTCCGCTCGCTCTTCCGGATCTCTACACAAACGTTAGAGACTATTGGGATGAGACACGGGGCTGGAAATGGGAAATCTTGGAGGATGCGCTGCCAACAGGTCTTAAGGAGCAACTCACAAGTTTCGTCCTAACAGCGGATCACATGCCTGATATGATAGGCTGGAGCCGAGAACACAACGGAAAGTTCTCAATCCGTTCGATGTATGATATGTTAACAGTGGCTCCCGAGAACTCCGACGAGAAAGCTAGGCGCAGCATGTGGCGGATTCATGTTCCAGCGAGGATTTGCATGTTTGTTTGGCTGGTCCGGCATGGCCGGATCCTCACTAACGCCGAACGAGCTCGACGAAATATTACAACTAACATGTTCTGTTTTAAATGTGCAGGCCTTGCTGAAGATTTAGATCACCTCTTCAGGTTCTGCCCAGCGGCCAAGGCCATTTGGGAAGCAACGCTCCACCAGAGTTTATACGCAAGGATGAACGCCATTCCATGGGCGGACTGGCTTGAGACAAATTTGAGGGGAGATCTGTCAAAGGGCTTTGATGAAGATTGGCCGGAAAAATTCTGTATAAGACTCTGGTGGCTCTGGCGTTGGAGAAACAATGAGATTTTCAGGCAGCAGTCTATGCCACTGAGCCAGAAGCTCGATTGGTTGATCCGCTATGATCGCGAGGTTAAGGCAGCTTTCACTAGGCATTTAGACCCGGACAGGGGCTGCACGACCCTTAGGAACACCCAGGTGGGATGGAAAAAACCAGAGAGAGGTTGGCTGAAGATGAACGTGGATGGTTGCAGTAGAGGGAATGGCACAGCCGGTTGCGGTGGCGTGCTCAGGGATGATCAAGGGAATTGGCGCAGAGGATTCACCTTCAACATTGGGCGATGTCAAGCACTGGAGGTCGAAGCTTGGGGCATCCTACAAGGCTTGCGTATGGCGATGGCGTACGGTGTTACAAGACTGATTCTGGAATGTGATGCAAAGAAACTCATCGACTTCATGCAGCGGAAGACTAACGGGCCGGAACTAGCGAGCAACGTGGCATGGAGATGCCTTTAAGAGGCTGCTTACATTCCAGAGGTGATCTTCGACCATGTGCTTAGAGAAGGCAATAAGGTTGCCGACAGTTTGGCTGTGGCTTCCCTGTCTCATCCCATAGGGCTTCGAGTTCTTACAGAGGCTCCCCGGGAGCTTGGAGAACAAGTTGATAACGATATTTTGGGAGCAATGACGCTCAGACGGTCCTCCCGAGCGATGAGCTAGGGGCTAAGACCGTGCTTATGTTCTTTGGGTATCCCCTTCCTTCAGGATCAAAAAAAAAAAAAAAGTATTTATGAATATAATATTAATAGCGATGATATACAATTTATTACAACTATTTCATATTTTATTATAAATATCCTTTTATCACCTTTTGAAATTTTTTATTTTATTTTTCACTCCCACTTACCAACATTTTTTGTTCTACCCCTATAAATCAATATTGTATTTTTGTAATAGACAATGATTTTTTTTTATTATCTTTCTTATCCGTTTATATTTAACTGTTGTCTTCTTTTTTTTTTTTTTTTTAATAAGCAATGATTTATGTCTGTTGTCCATTTGATTGTAATTTTTCACAATAATTTTGTCATTATATGTATGCCTATTTCTCCCCTCTTGCCAACTATTGAAAACTTAGAAAATATTTTTCGAGTTTTCAAACGCACCCTTATTTGTACTTTTTCCCAACATTTTATTACAAATGATTAACACAATCTGCTATAACACAATTTGCTAACCGTTGATTGCCAAGGCCAAAATAAATACTTGAGGCTAAATGTGCAAAGATGATAATAGTAGGTATCAAAATGGCAATAACTCAATTTAATATTTCTTTTTTGAGTGGGCTCGTTGACTTGATCTGAAATAAAGCTTCAGCCATTTTCTGCGAGTTGTGCAAAGGTTTCAGTCTCTCTCTCTCATAGCTATTACAGGGAAACACTGGAGAGAGAGAGAGAGAGAGAGAGAGAGAGAGAGAGGTGAGATGGCTTATGTTGGGGTAGCTTCTCTGAGGGCAACAATGGAGTTTGAGATCCAGCGACCCACTCCTCGGGTGCTTCCTGATGATCTACAGCAGATGAGGACTCTTCTTCAAAACCTTGCAATTTTGCAAGCCTTTCTGGACAAATATTATATCAAAGCCCACGAGGATGCTGAAATCAAACAAGTGGAAGTCAATATCAAGAGCTTTGCTCTTGAATCAGAAAACAAGCTTGAGATTCAGCTCAGAAACATTCTTCTGGCGAAAGATGCAAAGCGGAAAGAAGACGCTTGCAGAGAACTCCATCGGAGCATTGGGGAAATCAGCACTCAGTTAGGTGAGTTGTTGAGGATTGTGAACGCGCGTGATGATTCGTTAGCTGATTCCTTAGCCGATCCGTCAAAACATCCTTCCGACCAGGACACCACCACTTCACCGCTTACACAGCAGAGGGAAGAAATGGTCGGACACCGTGAGGAATTGAAGGATATAATGGAAAAACTCGGCCGCGACTGTGACGAACGACAAGTTATCTCAATTTGGGGAATGGGGGGGATCGGTAATGTACTTTCCCTTAATTCAAATTAATCATTAAGTTATTATAATTAATATTGTTGTTGTTGTTGTGATTAATTTTTAAATAACCATCTATAGTATGAAATGTTAAATCTTTTTAATCAGTTAAAATAGGTTAATTTCTTCAAATAATCCATTCTTAAACCAGTTTTTGATTCAATATGAACTTTAGGGGCAACTTGCCATGTTAGTGGGGCCATTGGCTTGGTAACCTCAAGTTTTCAAAGTTGAGTTGGGCTATTGGCTTGGTAACCTCAAGTTTTCAACTTGACTCCTGGTAACCTCAAGTTTTCAACTTGACTCCTAGGGCCCAAGGGGCCGCCGGCTTTCTTGGTTTGAGCCCACATCAGCAATAGCGGCAACTTATGATCTTTTACCGGCTAAGGTCATGAACTTTGTCTTTCACTGGATAAGGTCACAAGCCAGAATTTACCCATAGCAAACTCTCTCGAGTAGTGGTGGTGGCTGTGGTTTTCTTTGTCACCCCAAAAAAGAATATGAACTATAGGTAGTGGGTAATTAGTTTTGAGTTAGTGTTTCTATAGTATAGTATTACTGGGTCTTAATATCCATAAATAGATCATGCGTGTACTTTATACTTGTAAGTGAGTTTTACTCCAAATTCCTTCTTTTTTGAGTGAAGTATATTTATAGTATTCCAATTAATTAACAGGTAAAACTACTTTAGCAAGAACACTCTATGATGATCCAGTTACAAATCGTTTTGATGTTCGTGCTTGGACCACGGTGTCACAACAATATGAGGGGAAACAAATTATCACTGCCCTTCTTCGATGCATTAAGACCATGACCCCGGAAGAAATTAAGAACGCAACCAAGGATGAATTAGCAGAGCAATTACAAAAGCTGTTGAAAGGGAGAAGGTATCTAATTGTTGTGGATGATGTATGGAGTTCTGAAGCCTGGGATGAACTCCAACGCTGTTTTCCGAAGGATTGTAAAGGAAGCTGTGTATTATTGACCACTCGACACAAAGAGGTGGCCGAGTATACTCATTCAGAAAAAAAGGATCCTTATGGCCTGAGTCTTTTAAATGACAAAGATAGTTGGGTTTTGTTTTCCAGAAAACCCAAGCTTAAGCAACGCTTGTCAGAATCCAAATTTGAGGCAGCTGGGAAGGGAATCGTTGAACAATGCAAAGGATTACCCCTTTCCATTGTTGTAGTTGCAGGGATTCTGATCGGTAAAGAACTATTGGATGATTGGATGAACATTAAAAAAGAATTATCATTGATACTAACTGTTGATGAACAATGTAAAAAGATTGCCGCCTTGAGTTACAAACACTTGCCTCCAAATTTGAAACCTTGTTTTCTACATTTGGGAGTCTTTCCAGAAGACAGTGAGATGCCTATCAAAAATCTTATTAGGTTATGGATTGCTGAGGGATTTGTGAAAGCAAGTGGCAAGAGATTGGAAGATGCCGCTCTTGAGTACTTACAAGATCTTGTCGGTAGAAGCATAATTCTTGTTCGCAATTGGAGCTCAAATGGTTTAATCAAGACATGCAGCATGCATGATATCTTGCATGAATTTTGTGTGAGTGAAGCTGAAGATGAGAACCTTTTATATGCTGGTAGCATGAGAAGATTCCGAAGAGAGCAGACAACCAATGTTGGAACTGAAGGCGATGGTAGGACTGTAAAGCATGAGGGGTTTCGTTGGTTAAGTTTTTGGCCAAATTATGGAAATGTTTATTTTTGCTATAATTTGGACAAATCTCGCTCTCTATCTTTTCTACATAGAGATGCGATTCCAACACTTATTGGGCAGTGTCTACCATCCAACTTGTTAAGAGTACTGGATTTAATTCAATTGCCTCCATTATCCAATGGAATATTCAGGAGTTTAAGGGGTCTAGTTCTTCTAAGGTACATGGATGTAACCTTGGATGAGCATCTAAGTCCTCATGAGCTCACAAATATTGTGTCTAAAATTCAGAATTTGCAAACACTTGTTGTTTCTCTGAAGATGAGCTCCTCTTCAAATGGTACGCATTTGCCCTATGAAATTTGGGAGTCTCCACAGCTACGGCATGTTGAGGTTAGCTATTCCCTTTCAGTGGATCCTCCGACTGAGGTCAAAGAAGGGTTGCACACATTGCACTGGTTGAGTCTAGACCATTGTACGGAGGAAGTCTTTTCAAGGATTTCTAAAGTAAAAAAGTTGGGGATTATTTGTGGATGTGAGTCAAATCTAGATGGCATAAAGTCTGAGAACCTAAATAATCTTAACCGTTTGCGTGAGCTTGAGAAATTAATGATTGCATTTCGGAAAGGCTCGTCATTAGGCCTTCAGAATCTGGATTGTTTGCCAAAATGCCTCAACATCAAGAAACTGAAATTGAAGAGAACTTGTTTGCCTTGGAGTGAAATAAGTGCAATTAGCATGCTTCCTCATCTTGAGGTGCTAAAACTGAAAGAAGCCTCCAGTGAATCAAATTGGGAAGGCACTGACAGAAGTTTTAGAAAGCTAAAATCCTTGTTCCTAGAAGCTAAAAACCTCATTTCTTGGCAACTTAATGAGGAGGAACAATTTCCTTGCCTTGAGCGCTTAGTCCTTAAAAGGTGTTCGAGTTTGGTAGTGATTCCGACTGACTTTGAATGTATCATACCACTGAAGTCAATTGAAATAAAAAATTGTTCCCCTTCTGTTTTGGAGTCCGCCCATTCGGTTAATGAAAACCGGCAGGACCTTTATGGATACGAAGCCATTGTTATTCGCCATGGTCTGTCTCTTCTCTCTCACTTTTTAAAAAAAAATATTTTTTGTTTCCATTTTATCCTTAATTGATTTTTGTCATTTAATTTAATGACAGTGGACCAAATCGAAGAAGGAGTTGATGATGATGACGACGATGACGACGATGATGAAGAAGAAGAAGAAGAATAAATGAATGGTATGTAGCTACATACATTTGCTCGTTTCCTGTGTATTTGCAATTAATTGCCTATTTGTAATACTTGTGACTCTGTAAGTGGTGAATTTGTGGGTTAGTTAGTCTAAACTCTAGTCCTGACCTTAGGAACACATCTATCCGTCATCACTAGATTTTACTTTTTGATTTTTACAGGACTAAAATAAAAACCTATATAACAAAAGAGCAACAAGTAGAACTATGCATCCCTTTGCAATATAATAATACTTGAAAGTTATTTATGAAATTTCCAACGTGTGGTCAAGGGCTCTCATCAGGAATAATTCTGCAGAGTGATATGTTATTCTTAATAGTATTGGGGTTATAACAATTTTTATATTCATCTATTAATTAATTAGTTGTAATACATTGTGTACTTAGGTATTGATAAAAATTAAAATTAAAATTAAAAAAAAAAAAAGTGACTGCCAATGACCTTGTTGTCTAGTGGCATGAAGTGGCTCTCCCAAATGGGAAGTCATGGGTTTGAGCCCCAGTAGGGATGATATTGACTCTTTGTGCTTCAGTAGGTTGAGAAAGTAGCTACACTGGAAAATTTTCAAAAAATACGTCATTTAGCTGTTGTTTGGTATTTAAAATATATCACTAGGGAGGATTATATCAGCTTGCATGCTATGGCAAATTCCATGTTGACGTTACTAATGTTATTGTTGAAGTTTTTTTTTTTTTTTTTTTAGATTCAGTACAGAGTACAGACCCAAATCATATTAATCAAAATTGTTCTAATATAAGCCAGGTTTAAAGTAGCCTCAAGCCAAGTTGAGTTTCATGATGGTTTATGAGCATTGAATGTGTGAATGTTTGATTTCTACATAATTAGGTGCATATATGCCTTTCGATACATAACATGCTTGATTTGTCTTTTACTTGTTCGACAGGGATATCAATGATTTCAATGTGGTTGATTTGTAGGATTGGAGTGTGGTTTTGGTGATTGATAAGTGTTGGAGTTTGCTTTTTGAATTATCATCAGGACAGTGGATTCCTTGCGTTTGCTTTTTGCCTTTTTCTCAAGAATGATTGTGTTGTTTGTTACATGTTTGTGTAATTGTATAAATTATTGAGTTTGTATTATTGTTGCTTTGAGTCTTCCATATCCTCAGTACAAAGAATGCTTTGTAATTTGTATCAGTTTGAAGGCAACTTAACCTCCGCTAAAGTGCTCTTGTTTTTTTTTTTTTTTTTTTTTTGTTTTTTTGGGGGTTAAATATCCTTTGGGGTAGGTGGGGGTGTAGGAAAGCACAAAATGATAGGTCATCGTTGTATTGTGGACGGTAGATTATGGTTGCGATTGTTGAATTTGAAAGCCTTCACAATTGGAGAATATGAAGAATTAAAATCTTTCACAGTTGAGAATAATTATCACCACCTAATTAGGTGGGAGCAAAAATGAAGAATTAAAAAATGAGAAAATATATTATAATATTGAAGGTTACTATATATTTTTATAATTCTATATTTTTTAATGAAGAAATACCGTACATATATATACAAACACATAACTCTTAATTAAGCACATATTCACATTCACATGGGTAGACCTATAATGACAGTAGTGGGGCAGTTGCCCATATATATATATATATATATATATATATATATATATATATATATATATATATATATATATTGGAAAAAGTTCAAATGCAGTGATGTCCTTAGCTGCGGCGGAATTTTAGAATTCACCAACAGTGTTAACAACATGCACCAACAGTGTAAGGGAAACACACCACAATGAAATGCAAAAAACACCAAAAATACCTAACAGACCCAAAAAAAAATACACCATATAACTCACCACACCCCAATGGTGTATTTCCGGACACTATATGGTGTTTTTACTCGCACCTAATGGTGTATTTTTTGTGATGCGTACCTAATTTGTGTGTGTTTTTGTGGTGCATTTTCCTAACGTTGATGTTGTATATTTGTTGAACTATTGGTGACGCCGCACCGCCGCACTTGAACCTTACTCTCTCTCTATATATATAGGGAAGAATTCAGGTGTGGGGTATAACTTTCCGTGCGGTTGTGCAATTAACTAAAAAATATGTACATTAACCATTAAAATGGCGCAATTTAAGTACACAAATCACGCACTTTAAACACACAAACAATGCACATTAAGAACACAAATCACGCACCTTAAATTTTAAAATGACGCACCTTAAGAACATAACTTATGCACCTTAAACATACAAACAAAGCACCTTAAGCACAAAACTCACGCACCTTCAACAACTACTCACATTAAGGGGGGGGGGGGGGGGGGGGGGGTATATTCAATCATGACTTTTGTAGACTTTTAAAGATTTTTTAAATGATAGATTTTAATAAACTTTTATTGACTTTCATTGAGTCGTTCAAAACTTTTTAAAATTTTGTAAGACTCTATAAAAGTCTTTATAAAAAACATTCATAAACTTTTATCAACTTTTTTATTTTAAAAAGTCATTGAAATTCTAAATTGAATACATTTTTACAAACTTTCAATGATTTCGATTCTTATCATTTATAATTTTCTTAGAAAACATGTTATAATATATCATAAAATTCTTCTTATTATATAGTTCTTTCACCCACATCAAAATAGAATTACTAATTGCATAAAATAAAAAAAATAATATATATATATATATATATATATATATATATATATATATATATATATATATATATATATACAATTTATGACTGTGAAGTGCGAACAACAACAAGGTGCTACTGTTTGCAACCCAAGTTGTTGTTGCGAACAGTAATTCACTATTAGCGGTAGCCTGTTGTTAAAAAAATATTACGAATATAAACATAAAATGAATAAAAATCAAAATATACAAGTATTTATATGAATATTATGAAACATATAGTAAAATTTGATGGTGATAGATGAAAATTTTGTTTTGTTCATGTATTTAGGAGAAAAAGTTCTTAGAGAAAGTTTAGAACTTATGGAGAAAAGTTCGTAGAGAAAGTTTAGAAGTTAGGGATAAAAAGTTTGTAGAAGAAAAAACAAAAAACAAAATATACAAGCAATGATGAAAGTAAAAAATAATATTATTTCAAATTTTTAGAAGAAGATTGTAGAGTTTCGGAGAGGGAAAAAATTGGTAGAGTTTAGGTATGAAGAAAATATATGATAATAAGAAAAAATAATTTATTGAATTTAGGTATAAGGTTTATAAAGTTTAAATAGAGAGAGAAAACATTCAAAATTAGTAGAAAGAAAATTTTGAAATTTTGGGATTGAGGGTTGGATTTCAACTATTTATATTTGAGAAGGAAAAGTCTACAAAAGTCCTAAAATTAAACACAAATTCATAACTTTTTGAATATCACAGCTTTTAAAGACTCTTTAAAAGTCTTAATCGGATACCACCCAACTTTTAAAGACTCTTTAAAAATAGAGTAAATACCACCTATGGTCCCTCGAGTTTGGTGGCATCGCCATCAATGGTCCCTAACTTCCGTAATTACCTTCCGTCATCCTCCGAGTTGCGAAAAGTGGCCTTTTAGCGTCCTTCCGTTACTTCCTCCTGTCTTAGACGTCAAAATGAAGGGTAATATTGTCATTTGACATTTATAGGTCGTTTTAATGCCTTTATAATGTCGTTTCCAAGCATCTGAATGCTTTCATCTTCTTCACGCTCCAAACCCTAATCTTCATCTTCTTCATCAAAGCTCTCATCTTTTTCAAGTAATTTCATGAGCAACAATGTTATCTTCTTCAAGGAGGAGATATAATTTTGGAGACTCCATACACAGTCATGAGTGTCAGTGCGGGAATCAACTAGTGATTCGAACTTCTTGGATAGATCGCAATCCGGGTAGGAGGTTTTGGCAATGCTCTGAATCCGGACAGGTAATCTTACAATTTATAATATTGAATTTATAAAATTTTTAAATCAGTTTAATTTTTTCAGAATTGAATTTTTTTATTTATTATTTATTATTATTATTTTTGGTTTTAGGGAGGCAACGGTTGTGGTTTCTTTGACTGGGCAGATCCCCCAATGTGTTCACGGGCAATCAGTATAATACCAAGGCTTTTGAAGAGGATAAATAGAGACAAAGAAGAGATCGAGAAGTTAAAGGCTATGTAAGAAGTTGTTACTAAGAAAAATGTAGTGATGTCTAAGAAAAATAAATGTTGCAAATTCGCAATTGTAATCATCTTTGCAATTGGATTCGTAGTTCATGTGTTTAGCAAATGTAGTACTCAATCAATAGCACTTGTCAAAATGCTTCCAGGCAAATAATGTTGTAACCTGATTTGGACCATTTAATGAAATGTGTTTGAAGTCTGTTTAGTTAAGCACCATGGTATTGAAGTGTGTTTGCAGTGTGTTTAGTTAAGCAAACATGAACATACTACTGTCTAACATAATTTCAGTAGTGTAACTTAACTAATTTCAGCAGTGTAACAGAATTTCAGCATTGTAATTTAAGCACCATGGTATTGAAGTGTGTTTGAATTCAAAGTAAGCTTGACTTGCAGTGTGATTGCAGCCATTCCAATAAGTTAAGCACAATAAGAAAATAAAAGCCAATTGAGCAACCATTCCATTTCACCAAACTGATTAACTGATTGTGCCAAAATAACATACTACTGTGTTACAGAATTTCAGCAATGTAACTAACATACAACTGTCTACCAATTGTGCCAAAATAAGAGTTTAGTTCTCTACAAAAAAAAAAAAAAAAAAAAAAAAAAAAAGAGGACAATTTCAGCAATATTGGCTACCAAAAAAGACCATAACTTTAACACTAGTGTTATTCAATGTTTATAGGATCATCACTTGTGTTTTTGAATTTTGATTTCTGAGAGCTACGGGTCATATATTTTCTTCCTTGCCTTGCCTTGCCAAACATCTTCTTCTTTGTTGGTTGACTCACTTGTTGACTATCTTCTTATTCTCCAAGAGTTGGTGGCTGACTTGTAATTGGTATTTCCTTAGCATTCACTTGTGGTTGCAATGTTGGGTTTTGAAGCACTTGAGAGACCATTGCATCAATATCAATGTTTGCCAACCAACTATCATCTTCTTCTTCCAGTGTTGCATCAGGCAGTGTAGCTTCCATTTGTGTAGCATCTGGCAGTGTAGATTCAAAGTGTGTAGCTTGACTGTGTGTAGGTTTCTTAGCCTTTACCCTCACTCTTTTCTTTGGATTGGCATATGACAGAAATTTCACACAGATTATAAGCTACAAAACAGATTATAAGCTATAAGAAAATTTAAAACCATAACACTTACCAATCGCTCCCTAACAACAGGATCATCAGGGTATTTTCTTTTGTTGTGGCCTTCCTTCTTGCATTTAGTATAATGCATCTTCACATGGCTCATTTTCAAATGGATACCATCATTGGAGACCTCATCAACTCCCTTCTTTCCCAGATTTGGATACCTCAGCAACCCCCTTCTTTTTCCCAGATTTGGATACCTCATCAATTCCCTTGTTTCTTGCTTTTTTGGGTCTTCCTGGCTTGGCAGTGTATAGAGGTGGAAGACATGGCTGTCTATCAGTTTCAGGCCACTCACTAGGACCTGCCATAGGCTTGATGCTACCTCCATAAGACTTCAAGTATGTTTGTGTGCAATAACATTGGTGTACACAGGGACGGAGCCAGAAATTCGGTTGAGGGGGGGCGAAACAGTACAGACGGATTCAGAAATTTTTTCCAGAAAAGGCGAAACATTAAAACAAAAGAGATAATTTAAAAATAAATAAATAAACTACTTAAGAAATATAATTGTAAATATTGTTGGATATGGACGAAAAATAAAACACATCGAAACTTTATAAAAATATTCATAACAAAATATGAAACATAATTAATAAAATAATTTGAATAGAAAACACATTATAAATTACACATCTTATTATAGAGTGTGTGTGTGTAATATTAAAAAAGCTATTAAAAAAAATTGTAAAACTATGTTGATGCTAAGATTGGAACCCTTAACCTCATTATTACCAAAGATATGCTCTATCACCTACTCTAACTCCCTTCTTGTTAACATTTTATAGTTTTTTTTTATACTAATACTAAAACATGTACTATATATACATATATAAATACAAATACTATATATGGGGTGGGGGTGGGGTGAGGGGGGGGGGGGGGCAGCCGCCCCCCTGCCCCCCCTCTCCCTCCGTCCCTGGGTGTACATAGTCATGGACTGGACCCTTACCATGCTTCATCCAAATGGCACTTATAGCATGTCTACAAGGAATACCAATCAAGTCCCAACTCCTACAAGTACATGTCATTCTACCAAAGTCTACTTCATGCTGCTCAAATTCGCTATAGTTCACCCCACGTGTCTCAAACAAGTTGTCATCACTCTGTATGACTGTATACCCCCAGCCAATTTTTCATACTGAGCTATTTTCTTAATAATCCTAGGGCATATAGGGTCAGTCCATTTCCATGCTTGTTTCCTACACTGATACAGCCTATGCATAATTTTCTTCCTCAAAGTTTCAAGGCAACTAATTAGAGGCTTCTCTCTAGCATCTAAAATAACAGAATTATAACACTCACAAATGTTATTAACTAAGATATCACAATGTGCAGTTGTACTAAAATGTGACCTGGACCACTCTGAAGGGTGTTTGTCAACTAGCCATTCATATGCCTTGGAGTCAATGGTCTTCATCTTCTTCATTGCAGCTGTGAAGGTTTGTACTGTTGTGGCCCTAACAACATCCCATAAACCATCTTTAATTGTCTTTCCAGTGAAGTCAGCTAGTTTCATGTTCCCATGTAAATGTCTCACACAGAATCTGTGAGTCACAGCTGGAAGAACAAACTCAAATGCAGGGAGTAAACCCTTTTGCTTATCTGCAAAACAAATGGTTAACACTTAGAAATAAATGAAGGCGGCTCAAGCTTTTAAAACTGTAAGAAATGAATGTTAATTCAAGTTCACATACCTGAAATAAATGTTAATTCCAAGTCATCAGCATGATTTATTGCAAGATCTGTCTTAAGGTGTTCTAAAAACCAAATCTAACTTTCATTAGTCTCTCCTTCAACAATTGCATACGCAAGAGGAAACACACTATCATTTCCATCAACTCCAATAGCTAACAACAACTGACCCCATGCAATCCCTCCAAATGACACCCATCCACTCCAATAATAGACCTACAGTACTTATAGCCTAGTTTACATGCTTTCCAACACATGTAAAATCTTTTGAACCTTTTATTGCCATCATCTAGTTTATCACCCAACTTCACATGGTATGTGCTACCTGGATTAGTCCTGTCAATCTCCAAGCAGTAACTCCAGAGTTTACTAAAGCATTTTTCTTCTTCACCATAAATAGAAGCCCTTGCTTTCCTCATTGCCCTCCATGATTTCCTTCTTGATATTGAGATTCTATCAGTAGTTGACACCTTTTTAAGAAATTCAGCGGCTGTCCAGTTGGAGTTTGATGCAACTTCATTCTTCCACCTTTTTGCATTTGTAGTTGAGTTAGCCATGTAGTTGGTGTTATTCCAACAACATCCATCATGCTTGTCATTGATTGTTGTAATCCTCCAGTCCTTTTCTAATGCTTGTTTCCTAAGTATAATCCTCCAAGGACATTCGGTTTCATTACACTCAACAATGCACCTAACCTTATCATTTTTCACATACAAAATTTTCTTTCCTTTATTCATTGCATGATTATAATTGCCTCCTTAAATTCTTCCTTAGAACCAAATGTTAATCGTCCAAGACAGAATGTAGGTGTTGCCATCTGAATTTTGGCTTTAAACTTTGGTAGTTCATATTCTTTTTCCTCTTCTTTATCACTGTCTTTCTCACTACCCTCATGTGAAAAGTTTATATCTAAATCTTCACTAACTTGCACTGTTAAACCAGTTCCATCATCATCTAAGCCACCAAACTCAACAGTTGGATCAACAAATTGAACTTGCACTGTTAAACCAGTTCCATCATCATCTAAGCCACCAAACTCAACAGTTGGATCAACAAATTGCTCAAAATCTATGGCATCTAAATCCACATAACTTTGATCATAATCAGCATCCTCCTCCACCCAGGCGATAAGTGGCTAGTGCGTTGGAAAAAAGATACCGAAAGTTGGCATAACTTAGCCCGCAAGGCCAGCCAACTTCCGGACGACATTCGTGCCCGCGCACACGAGCTTGAATCAAGCCTTTTTCAATTGGAAGTGGACCCCACTGATAATTGTACCACAAAATAGCCACTTAAAATGCCATTTTAATGCTATTTTTTTCAACAGAATATAATACACATAAAGGCAATACACAAATTTAACTGTTTTTATGTGCTTTCAACATGTGCTTTCAACCCTCTGTGGTCCCCAATTTCAAGCCAACCCAGCCGCAATTAATTACAGAACAAAAAAGACACACTACCATGTGCTTTCAACCCTCTGTGGTCTCCAATTTCAAGCCAACATATGTGTTTTCAACATAAATAATTTTTAAAAAAAAAAGTTTTAATGCTTTTATTGCAGAAAGTGATATGAAAATAGCAACACATGGTCTCCCACCACCTAGACAGGGCCCCCATGTTCCCATAATCAAAGCCCAATACTATAGTTTAAAGAAATGCAGTTCACATACTCAACTTTTTAATAACAACAACAACCAATACATATACGAGGTTTTCGTAACACAAAGAAACAACCCTATAACACAAATTCATAATGTATAACTTCAAATTCAAAATCCCTACTTAGTTAGTTCACATACCGTTCGACTGCCATTGTGGAGAACCCAAGGCCTCGTTGAAGTGTGCCCTAGTCTGGCCTTGAATTCTGACCTTGAAATTGCTACTTCGTCGTTGAAGAATTTGCTAGGTTTCCTTCGCATTCGCCTCTCTTTTGATTGGGAAAGATATTAGGGTTCTAAGTAGAGTAAATTGGGAATTTTAAGTTTCAATTATTAATGTGTGTTCCTTAATAAATTGTGTCGTATAAGTCAAATGACAATATTATCCTCCATTTTGACGTCTAAGACTGGAGGAAGTAACGGAAGGACGCTAGAAGGCCACTTTTCGCAACTCGGAGGATGACAGAAGGTAATTACGGAAGTTAGGGACCATTGATGGCGATGCCACCAAACTCGAGGGACCATAGGTGGTATTTACTCTTAAAAATATTAATTGAATACCACCTGACTTTTAAAAATTCCCTAAGGGCTCGTTTGGTTCGCGGAAAATATTTTAAGGGAAGTGAAATTGGAATTCCATAGAAAAACAATTACTAGGAAGATTAATTTCATTGTTTGGTTGGTGGAAAAAGAATTACTAGGAATACTAATTCTATTGTTTGGTTAGATTTGGAATTGTAAGAAATAATGAGTATAAAAACCTATATGCCCCTACAAATTAATAAAAGTAATATAATTAAAAAAGAAAGCAAGGGTAAAATAGGCAATCTATTCACTTTTTCTTCCCATCTTTCATGGAAAACAAAATCCTTGGTCCAACCAAGGATTTTGTTTCCTCAAATTTGAGGAATTCATTTTCCAATAGAAAATGAATTCCATGAACCAAACACTAGAAAATAACATTTTCCTTCATTTTAAGGAAAATATTTTCCTTTTGGAAAACATTTTCCATGAACCAAACATCCCCTAAGGGCTCGTTTGGTTCGCGAAAAATATTTTAAGGGAAGTGGAATTGAAATTCCATGGAAAAACAATTACTAGGAAGATGAATTCCATTGTTTGGTTGGTGGAAAAAGAATTACCGGGAATACTAATTCTATTGTTTGGTTAGATTTGGAATTGTAAGAAATAATGAGTATAAAGACTTATATGCTTCTACAAATTAATAAAAGTAATATAAAAGTAATATAATTTTAAAAAGTCAACAAGGGTAAAATAGGCATTCTATCTCACTTTTTCTTCCCATCTTCCATGGAAAACAAAATCCTTGGTCCAACCAAGGATTTTGTTTTCCTCAAATTTGAGGAATTCATTTTCCATTGGAAAATGAATTCCATGAACCAAACACAAGAAAATAAGATTTTCCTCAATTTTAAGGAAAATGTTTTCCAAGGAAAACATTTTCCATGAACCAAACATCCCCTAAAAGTTTGGATTGAATACCTCCAAACTTTTAAGTTCATAAAAGTCAAGATTGACTACACCCCCCTAAGTACACAACCCACACACCTTTAGTACAAAACTCACGCATCTTAAGCACAAACTCAGGCACCTTAATCACAAAAATCATGCACCTTAAATTTGACATAGATGCAAAAATTACCAAATTGCCATCACGTTTTTTTTTTTTTTTTTTTTTTTTTTTTTAAATTTTGGTAATCCTGAACGTTGATTTAAGCAAAATCAATGGTTCTCCTCTCGCCACACAAGCGCACCTAGACGCACCAACCGCACAGGAACCTAAGAGTGTGTGTGTGTGTTGGGGGGGGGGGGGGGGGGGGAGGGGCAATACAAATTACTAAGGATTTGAGTAGCTCAATTGGTTTTAACCTTCTATATGATATGAAGTGTCATGAGATTGAATCTCATTTTATTAAGCAATTAAAGCAAAATACCAATTTTGGTTTCATGAGTATTAACAAAATGACAGTTTTGGTCCATGTTTTATTCCTATCAATTTTCATCCACGGTTATTGATTTAGTACCAAAATTCATCACATCGGTTGCCCCCTTCATTTAAGACATGCCTAAATATGAAATTATGAAGGGTATTTTAGTCTTTTTTAATTAAGATACCAATTTGAGAATGAATAAATGAATTTAAGTCCTAAGATCAATCCCAATTTGCTATTTTTTCTCCCCAAATTAAGGTAGGATGAAGATGAGAATTGTGAATTGGGATTGATCTTAGGACTTAAATCTTTTTATTCATACTCAAATTGAGATCTTAAGTTGAAAAAGACGAAAATACCTTTAAATTTTTTAAATTTTTGCATATTTTAAACAAAATGATGACCAGAGTGATGAATTTTGACACTAAAATAATAATTGTGGATGAAAATTAGTATTAAAATAATAATCATGAACAAAAATTAATAGAAATTAAATATATAGACTAAAATTGTCATTTGGTTAATACTCGTAAGACTAAAAATGATCCTCCCTATTTGATCTAAAAAGTATGAACAAAAATATGGAAGTCCATCCGATTTTTAAATTCTTGTTATATTTTATCCATTTAACCTAATTTTTTTTGTCACAGGTGATATATTAAATGGTATATCCTTAGTAAGCAGTTAAGCACCCCTAAATTACAATTTAGTGAATTTACAGAATGAAATTGGTGTAAAAAAAAAAAATGAATTGCTAGCTGTCAACGATAGAGGTGGGGTAGACGGCCCATTGCCGGTGCCGGTAACGGCGTCTTTTACTGACGATGGAGAACACTGGTGTGAGGAAGAAGAAATAATAATCTGGTTTTGAAAGCTGGTAATGGCCGGTTGCAGAGAATGGATATTGAGTTGAATGCCTTGTGTAAACCTGCTGAAGAACGGCTGGCGAGGATGGAATTGATGCTTGCGGAAGGATCAACGCCGCCTCCACGTGCAAAGAAGACGGCCGGAAAAGCTGCCGACGATCCTTACTGTTACGCAGTGAAAAGGGATGGATTCCAGACTTGCGTAAAGGTCTGTTTGGCTCTTTCTTTGGTGTGTATTTTTTTTTTTTTTTTTTTTCTATTTGTTTAGTGTGGTGTGGAAATAAAAACAAAACATAGGAAATACTTTCAATAATTGACCATGAATGCCCGTCTCAAAGGAGGGGCTGACAAGAAATCAAGAATTGAACTAACAACTCATAATGAGGTGAGGCGTTGGTAAATAGCCGTTAGTTGATTAGATTAGTGAGTTTGATTAAACATTAGTTGATTGTAAAAAAGATGTTAGTTAAATTAACTGTTAATGTAGCTGATTAGATGTAAAATGACTTCCACAAAAAACTGATCGAAAAAAATTGTTTTGAACAACTGTTTGAATTTTTATGTTTTTAAACAATAAATTATAAATTATTATAAAAAATTAATTAATTAAATTAAACAGCTAATAATGATAATATAGGCCAAAATTAGATGTTACCAAATAGGGTCATAATCATGTTTTGTTTTATTCACTCGGCTCTTCTTTTTGAGTTTTATAACTTGATTTTTTGGAGTTTATAACTTGATTGTTTGCCAGCCTTTTAGGGCTTATAACTTGATTTTGGCCACCCTTTTCCAGCTTATCACTTGATTTTAGACTCATATTTATAGTCAATACTTGATTTTGCACTAATAATTTTTTAAAAAATTGTTACATACGAAAGTTGACAAAAATCTTGAGATTACAAGTAAAAAACTGGCCGGCATGTATATGTCAAGACAAATTTTTTTAAAAATTTAGCAATCCCATCTATATACAACAATGTAAAAACAAAGAGATGGATTTATGAGTTGGGCATATGTGGGTGTTCTCAAGAGATGGATTGTCTCATTTGTCTGCAATTACTAAGAACTTCAACCGCGGGCTTTGTTTCTTAAACTGATATATACTGTAATCTTGTACATGAGAGTTGCTATTGCGTTTTCTCTTACAAACAAACATAGAAAAAGTGTGAGATCGAGAGAACCATCAACCATGGCTTGTGTTGCTTTAACTTGTCTCATGGCAACTATTGAGCTTGAGTTTCTGCCACCCACCCAAAGGGTGTCACTTCATGATCATACACCAATCAAATCTTTCTTTCAGAACCTTTCTTCTTTGCAAGCATTTCTCCAGAAGGAATCCTGTGGTGATGATGATGGTGGTGCACTCAGAGATTTGGAAATCCAAATCAGGGACTTTGCACTCGGAGCTGAAGATGACATCGAAATGCAGCTTAGCAACATCCTTCTCGCTGAAGATGGGGAGTATCGAGAAAAAGCTTCCCACAAACTCTATCAATCTTTGCGAGAGGCAGCAAAAAATGCAAAAGAGCTGTTGAAGATTCTAGCCAGGGAAAAAGAGTCGTGTGTAAGTGAGACCGAGATGGCTATTGCTGCTTTAACTACTCTCGTGACAACATTTGAGTATTACTTTTTGCACCCCTTCCCAACGGTGTCTCTTGATGATGAAGCAGCAATGATATCTTTCTTTGAAAACTTTTATTCTCTGCAAACCTCTCTCCAGAAGGAATCCGGTGGTGATGGTGGTGCTGCAATAAAAAAAGTGGAAACCAAAATCAGAAACTTTGCACTCAAAGCTGAAGGTGACATTGAAATGCAAGTAAGCAACTTTCTTCTAGCCAAAGACACCGAGCATGAAGAAGAAGCTTCTCAGGAACTCCGTCAAACCATGCAAGATGCAGCAGAAAATGCAGCTGAGTTGTTGAAGATTTTCAACGAAGAAATAGATCATGAAAGAGTGAGGAAGATGACTTGTGGTGCTCTAACTTCTCTCATAGAAACTATTAAGCTTCGGCTTCTGCCAAGCACCACATGCTTTTGGTGGCCATATCCTTGTTGTGAAGGAGCAATCAAATCTTTCCTAAGAAACCTTTCTTCTTTGAAAGCCTTTCTCCAGAAGGAATCCATTGGTGATGGTGGTGTACTCAAAGATTTGGAAATCCAAATCAAAAACTTTGTACTCAAAGCTGAAGGTGACATCCAAAAACAACTTGACAACTTTCTTGCTCCCCGTGAACTCAACCAAATTCTGCAAGAAGCAGCAAACAGTGCAACAGAGCTGTTGAAGATTCTAACCAGACTTAAAGAGTCCTGTTTAAGTGAGAGAGAGATGGCTAGTGCTGCTTTAAGCATTCTCATGACAAAGTTTGAGTATTACTTTTTGGAACCCATCCCATTGGTGTCTCTTGATGCTGTAGCTATTATGCCTTTCTTCGAATACCTTTCTTCTTTGCATGCTTTTCTCCAGAAGGAATCCAGTGGTGATGGTGGTGCACTCAAAGATTTGGAAATCCAAATCAGAAACTTTGCACTCAAAGCTGAAGATGACATCCAAATACAACTTGGCAAAAAATTTGCTTCAGTTGAACTCCGACGAACTTTGCAAGAAGCATCAAAGAATGCTAAAGAACTGTTGATAATAACCATACAAAAAGAGTCCTTAAGTGAGAGGGAGATGGCTAGTGCTGCTTTAAGCATTCTCATAACAAAGCTCCAGTATTTCTTTTTGAAACGCACCTCATTGGTGTCTCTTGATGTCGAAGCTATTAAGCCTTTCTTCTATGACCGTTATCTTTATAAAGAATACCTTTTGCTTCCCAATCCACCTTTTAATGATGAAGCAGGCCAAGAAGCAGTGAAATCTTTCTTCAGAAAGCTTTGTTCTCTGCAAGCCATATTGCAGAGGAAATCTAATAGTAGTGCTGCAATCAGAAAATTTGCACGAAAAGCTGGAGTTGACATCAGTATACAACTACGCGAGTTTCTTATAGCCAAAGACACCGAGCATGAAGAAAAAGCTACCCAGGAACTCTATCAAACCTTCCAAGTTGCAGCCAAAATTGCAGCAGAGATTATCGACAAAGAGGAACAGCATGAGACAGAGAGGGAGATGACGTGTGCTGCTTTAACTTCTCTCAGGGCAACAATTGGTGAGATTATCAACAAAGATTTCTTGGAAAAGTTTTCTTCTTCGCAACTCTTTCTGCGGGAGGAATCTACTGATGGTGTTGCTTTAAGTAGTCTCAAGGGAGCAATTGAGAAGGGGTTTCTTGATGATGAAGCAGCAAGAGAACCTTTCCTTGAAAACATTTCATCTTTGCAAGCTTTTTTGCAAAAGGAGTCCACTGGTGGGGCTGCAGTGGAAGATTTGGAAACTAAAATCAAAGACTTTGCACTCAAAGCAGGAGATGATATCAAAATAAAACTAAACAATTTTCTTCGGACCAAAGACACAGAGTATCAAGAAAAACTTTCTCAGGAACTCCATCAATCCATGCGAGAAGCAGCGGAAAGTGCAGCAGAGTTGTTGAAGCTAAGCAATGAAGTTGATGAGACAAATGAAACTCAACTATCGAATAGTTGGTTAAAACATGCTTCAAAGTCGGCAAGTGGGTCCTCACAGAGCTTTCTAAAGCTTGGGAACAGAATGGTTGGTCGTCACAATGATTGTAGAGTGGATAAAGGACCAACTCCTCTCTTCCCGTTCTCAACCAAAATTAATCTCAATTGTTGGAATGGCGGGTATTGGGAAGACTACCTTAGCTAAAAAGGTATATGAAGATCCATCAGTTGCATTGCATTTTGATGTACGAGGTTGGATTACTATACCTCAAGACTACACTAAGAGGCAAATGCTATGCGACCTTCTTCAGTCCATTCTGCCAGCGGAGCTAAATGTAATTAAAAAGGGAAGCACTACAGATGAACTAGAAGTACAGGTACGCTTATGCTTACTTGGTAAGAGGTATCTAATTGTTTTGGATAACATTTTGAGCACTCAAGCTTGGTTTGACATCATACAGTGTCTTCCTACTGACATAGGTGGAAGTTGTATATTACTAACCACTAGCCACCTCAAACAAGACTACTACAGTAGCCATTATATCCATAACATGACTTTGCTTGATCCAAAAGAAAGTTGGGATCTGTTTTGTGATATTCTTCCTATTAAAGAGCACATGGCACCTAAAATTGAAAAAATTAGGAACCATGTTGTGGAGAAATGTGATGGATTACCACAGTTAATTGTTGAAGTTGCCAAGCGTTTATCTGAATGCAATAACATACAAGAGGGGTGGAAGAAGATTGAAAAGGAATTAGAGTCATTGGGAATTCTAGATCGCAACTCAATCACTGTCAGTTATAATCCATTGCCACATCATTTGAAAGTTTGCTTTCTGTATTTTGGAGTCTTCCCAAAACGTAATAGAATTCTGGTTAAAATGCTTATAAGGTTATGGATTGCTGAGGGATTTGTGAAGCCATTGAATCATTATGAGTTAGAAGATGAAGCTTATATGTATTTACAAGAGCTAATTGATAGAAGCCTTGTCTTAATTGAAGATCAAAGTTTTGATGGCAAAATCAAGACTTGTAGAATGCATAGTGCTATGCATAGCTTCTGCGTAGGGGAAGCTCAAAAAGAAGGTATTTTATGTGCAGTAAATACTCGACAACATTCAGGATTGTCATTGGATGCATTTGCAAATTCATGTCGTTGGCTAGGTATATACTCTCACAGTTTTGACTATTACGTGCTCTTTGGTACAAACATCCCTCGCTCCATTTTCTTCTTTCTTGAAAATTCTGAAATGTGTGTTCCTCTCAAGGTGTTAAGAGTTTTGGTTTTTGATACTTCTATATCCCTTCAAAGAGTGCCACTGAATTTAGGGAATTTAGTTTTTCTGAGATATCTATCCATAACACAATGGTTTGAGGATCTGGATGATGTAGTATCAAATAATCCGAATTTACAAACACTTGTTGTTTCCAGTAGTGGAGCACCTAGTGTCCATTTACCATCCAGTATTTGGAAGCCACCACACTTAAGGCATCTCGAACTTGGCAATTTGTATATAGTGGATCCTCCAAACATGGTTAAAGAGAATTTGCATTCATTATCTTGTGTGGTGAGACCAATTCATTGCAGAAAGGAGGTGTATGACAAGTTCCCTAACATAAAAAAGCTGAAAATTTTCCTTAAAGATGACACAGAAGCCAGTCCCACTCATGGATCTTGCAGCAATCCCATTATTCTGGATAACTTTGCCAATTTGAAAGGGCTTGAGAAGCTAAGCATCTCAATTTCTACTGGTTGCATTGCAGCCCTTCCAGAACTGTATCCTTCAGGATTGAAGAAGTTGAAGTTGAGTGGTACTAATATGTCTGAAAAGGATTTAACCATAATTGCCACATTACGTGAGCTTAGGGTTCTGAAGTTGGAAAATGCCTTCCATGGAACAGTATGGAATTCAGTAGTTAAAGGAGGATTCTATAGCTTAAGATTCTTGCTCCTTGAAGCTAAAAAACTCAAGCAGTGGGTAGCTAGCAGTGATCAGTTTCCGGTGCTCAAGCACTTGGTCTTAAGATCCTGTTATTGTTTGGAACGGATCCCAGAGCGGTTTGCAAGAACTTCCACCCCGGTGTCAATTGAGTTGGAGGGGTGTCACTCTTCCCTTGTCGCTTCTGCCAAGCGGTTACAACGGAAGAAAAGTTCCAAAAATCTTAAGGTTAGAAGCTAAATATCTTTCATTTTTTATTTTTATTTATTTTCTATTCAATGCTGATTTTTTTTTTTGATTATTATACTAATTTAGTTACTATTTTATTTTTCTGATCTCATTTTGTTTTCTGCATTATTTTTCACAGATCAAAATCTTGGACCCTAAATATGATAAATCACAGAATAAACATACAAAAGTGTCTATTTAAGACGACTTGGGCAGCCTCATAGTATCTGTTAGAAAATGGTATGTGTTACATTACAAGTGCTGATTTTTTAATTGTGTAATTTTTGCATCTTCTAGAATTACATCCCACTTTATTTTATTTTATCTAAGTTATTATACAATCCTGGCTTGGGCTTACACTAGAATCAGGCTTGTATAGTTTTATATACAAAATAGAAATTCATTTTTATACTTTAGAATAATATCACTGTGTGACCAAGTTATAACTTGAAAGAAGATAGCGGGTAGGGGTGGAACGTATATTGAAGGTATAATTTGGTTGTTTCCTTGGAAATGTGCAGTCAAGATTACACTATGATCTAATTCAATAACATAATTGAAAGATACAGTATTGCTTAGCCTGGTTTTGTCACTGTATTATTGTGAAGACAATAAATAGCTCATGTACTTACTCTCTTTGGTTAAAAGTTAATGATTCCTCATGAATGCAATAAACTTACTACTGCAGTGTATCCAGAAGTTGGTAATAGATGCTACTGAAACATGGGCTCAAGATTGAGCTTTCTGTCAAAAAGACAGTGGATCACCAAACAATGTGGAAGAGATAGATCTAATGTTGATGTTTTGTCTTTTTAAAGAAATCATGTTGGTGACTAGGGCAAGCTGCGAAGCAGGTAAATTATTCTGGTGAATTTTTTTACCCTTTTATCTTTAAGCTACTGAATGCTCTATAGACTACAGATGCATTGTATCCTTGAAATAGCTTGCTGAACTTGAAAAACTCATATTCTTCAAAGAGGTTTCAGAACCTGCAGAATAAGCATGTCTTTCCCCAACAGAGAGTGAAAAGTTCTTTAACGGAGATTATATTAGACTCATGTTGCTTTGTATTTTAATTTCATAGCTTTTGATCCATATTCATCAACTACTAATTACGGAGTATATTCTATTAATTCAAAGATAAAATAGGATTACTACTTCTGTTTGGAAAAAATCACCTAGGATTAATGAAGTATGCAATTCAAAATGGAGAAGCACAGTATGAAATAATCTCCCAAAACCTCACACCTCTATGATGATGACACAGTGTGACACCTCCCAAAATCACCTACTATAAGTACTGATTAATATGGTTTTTGCTTCAAGTGTTTAACACCATTGTCTTCATGTGACACAGGCTGGGGCACCAACTGTCCATTTGCATCCAAAATTTGGGAGCCACCACGGTTGAGGCATCTTGAACTCAAATGGCAATTTATATATGGTAGATCCTCTGAGCAGGAATAAATGGAATTTGCAAACATTATCTTGGGTGAGTCCAACTCAAGGAAACTTCTGTAGACTAAGATTCTTGCTTCTTGAAGCTAATAAACTCGAACATTGGGCAGGCGTTGGTGATTTTCTAGTTTTAAGTGGTTAGTCTTGAGATGTTTGGTGTTATTGTTTGGAAGATCAGAGTTCCCTTGGTATTCAACAGAAAATTTGACCTTGTGATCAATTACGTTGGATTATTGTGGGCCTTCTGTTAGCTTATACGAGACTGGCAAGTTGAAATGGGAACCACATTTTTTAGGTTAGAATCTATAGCATGTGATCCATTATCAACTATTTTTGAATCAATGCTAACTTTCTTTACAAAATTTATTACATTTCTGTTTCTGATCTCATTTTGTGTTCTCCATTTTTTGCATTATTTGTTCATAGATCAAAGTCCAAGGGCCTGAATATGATGAATCACATGTAGAAGATTTTGTAGAAGATGACTTGGTTAGGCTCGTAGTAAATTAACAGTTATGTGAAAATGGTATGTGTGAGGCTACATGTGTCTTTGTATTTGCATGCCAAATGAAATGAAATGGTGTTGCTACCTTGTACAGATCGATAATTATTGAAGCTAAGGTGGCAAATGAATTGGTTCCCCATGACTCATCAGCTGATCTTCAATTTAAAACTTAGATTTCTTGTTTGGTGCTTTTCTCCCCTTGTTACTCAGCAGAAAATTGTAAGTGTTATCATTGGTCACAGTCGCAGTCACCTAGCTTGTTTCAAAAAAATGCAGTGGGTATTCTTTTACAGACAAATAGTTTCGTTCTCTCCATTTTTCATAGATCAAAATCTACGGGCTTGAAGGTGAAGAATCACCATATCCACATGTAGAAGAGGACTTGGCCGAGATCACAGTGAATTAGAAAGATGGTATGTATGCAGATACTGAATGACGCCTTCAATTTTGATCAGATGCTAAATGACAACTAGACAAGATGTGTTGCTAGAATTGTGTATTCAATTCAAAACATAGATTTCTTGTTTGGAGCTTTTGTTTCCTTGTTCAATTCCAAGTGCTACCATTGATCATAATTGCCTTGTTTATAGAAAAATGGTTTGGATATTCTTTGACAGCCAAATGTTTCTCATTTGCAGGCCATTATTAAAGATATACTTCCTCAAACCAACATCATAGAAAAGAGCAGTATTGTTGGACCTAGTTTTGAATAGTTCAATAGTTGCTATCTTTGGTCAAGAGGTGTGGGTTCCTTATAAATGTGAGATGCTATTGCAGATTATCGAAAAAAATAACCTTACAGTCATCACTGCATGATATGACGATTTTTGTATGGCTACTTTTTATTTTTTAAAATTAAATTGTTTTAAATCTTAATTTGATGTTGCTTTTGCGAATAATATTGCTCCTTATTTTTGGGTTTTTTTTTTACTGAAATAAGTTATTTATATTGGCAAGTGACAAGAATGGACAACTTTTAAAATTTGGACGACAAAAAAAAAAAAAAAAAAAAAAAAAAAAAAAAAAAAAAAAACTCGTTTGCCACTTGCAAACGCAAGTTGCACTTGGGTTTCTATAAAAAAAAAAAAAAAAAAATTAAAAAAAACTGTTAAAATACAACAAACGCAAATGACATTCGCTTTTCTTGTTTTCGCCGGAAATTATCTTCCATACCTATTTTAGTCAAAAAAAAAAAAAAAAACCCCATGTAGTTGTAGGTTGTAGGGTATTTTTTTTCTTTTTAATCATAACACTTGTCTTCTTTGGGAAGTACCTCATCTGGCAAGCTGGACGTCTAACAGGATAAAAATTTCTTCCATGATCAAAGCCCACGCTCATCTTTGGAGTAGGCCAGAGGGTCCTACATATCTAGTTGGCTACATCCAAATGCTTGTGAGTTACGGAACTAGAGGTGGCTGTTACCAGCGGCGGTGGCTTTCATGATAGGGGCGGAGCAAGCTAAAGCTGAGTGTAGTAGTATGGGGTCACCGGGAAGCTAGAAATTGGCAAAATTAAAGGTGCTGATTCTGATAGGTAGAATGAGAAGATGTGGGTGGGATAATAATGGTGAATGGCATATCTATGGAAGATTAGATGAATCATTTACTCGTCAGGAAAAAGCATTTGCACGGGTTTCGAAATAGGGAAATCCCTAAGTTGGGATACAAAGCAAGGAAAGTGTTTTTGACAAAGGCGACATTCAATAACAAGGAAAGTGTCTTCAGCAATGGCGACATTAGTTCATACGGGAAAAAAAAATTAAAATACCAACTATATACAATTATACACAACGAAATACAGATATATAGAATTATACACAACAAAATACAGATTCTTTTTTATTTTCTTCTTTTCGTAATAAAGGAGCTGTAGCCTCGGCTTGTAGGCTGGTTGGAAACTAGATTGGGTCAAATTTTGGGAATCTTCGCCGCATTGAAATTGGATTAGGTCAAATTTCGCAACATGGGAATCTTGGCAGCATTGTACATATGAGTAGGAATACCGTATTTACTCCACTTTTTTGGAAAAAAATTAATGGAAAAGGTATATCGTCTTTCCCAAATAAGACATTCCATCTCCCATATATCGTCTTTCGAAAAGACGACATTCCCTCCCCCGTAACCCACCTTACCAATTTCCTGATCTCGAATCCCGGTCTTAATTCTCTCATCACTGGAAATCACCCGGAGGGTTACATGTCAAAGGACTCGTATACTGGAGCTTTTGGATTTAGACTCAGGCTGCATCCAAATTTTTAAGTTTTTTTTTTGTGAGTTTTTGTAGGTATAATTAGAAAAGAGAAAACGGGAGAGAGTGTAAAAAGGAAATAAAAAGATAAAAGAAAAATAAAATCTGAAAACAAAATTAAAAAAAATAATAATAATAACAGCTAAACGTGTGCACTGCACGCATCGGTCTGGAGGCGGGATGTGCACTAAATGTGCAGAAATAGAGTATTATTCTTCCATTTCTCTCTCCTGCGGAACCCACAAAAAACTTGAGTCTTGCAAGAGAAAAAACATAGAAAAAAACCATTTGTTTAAAAACCATTGAATGGATTTTTGACTTATAAAAACTAGAGCAAAATACACAAATGTGGATGCTCTAATGAAACCTATCATTGATGGCAAATTATGTTGTGCATCCGTATGCACCATCCATGTTGCATACGGATGCAAAAACGACGTCGTTTTATTAAAAACGCGCGTCTCACTTAAAAAAAATCAGTTTCGATTCCTAGCAACAACATATGAACTAAAATTCCAGAATCGATAAACTAAAATTCCAGAATCTATGAACTAAAATTCCAGAATGAATGAACTAAAATTTCCAGAATGAATGAACTAAAATTCCAGAATCTAATCTATGAACTAAAAATTCCAGAATGAATGAACTAAAATTCCAAAATCGATGAACTAAAATTCCAGAATCAATGAACTAAAATTCCAGAATCTTCGAACTAAAATTCCAGAATCTTTGAACTAAAATTCCAGAATGAATGAACAACATAATGTTGTTGAGGGGAATCGAACTTGATTTTTTTTTTAAAGTGGGATGCTCGTTTTTAATAAAACGACGTTGTTTTGGCATCCGTATGCACCATGCATGGTGCATACGGATGCACAACATAACTATCCATCACTGATGAGATGGGTCTAGTACTGTCAAAGTTGGTCGAAGCCCGCGGGCTAGCCCGCACCCGTCCCGCGGTGGGGTGGGATAGGGTTATGGAAAATAGGCCCGCGAAAATGCGGGTCTAACGGGGCGGGCTAAAATCAACCCGCAGCTGGCAAATTATGCTGTGCGCACCATGCATGGTGCATACGGATGCAAAAACGACGTCGTTTTGCATCAAAACGCGCGTCCTACTTTAAAAAAATCAGTTTCGATTCCCAACAACGACATTATGTTATTCATTTTTTAGTTCATTCATTCTGGATTTTTAGTTATGAAATTCTGGATGTATAGTTATGCAATTATGTATGTGTAGTTATGAAGTTATGGATGTGTAATTAGGCAATTCTGGATTTATAGTTATGAAATTATGAATGTGTAGTTATGTAATTTTGGATGTATAGTTATGAAATTATGGATGTGATGAAATTATGGATGTGTAGTTATGCAATTCTGATTTTTTTTTTTTTAAAGTTAGACGTCAAAACGACGTCGTTTTTGCATCCGGATGCACCATGCATGGTGCATACAGATGCACAGCATAACCATCCCCCACAGCTTGCGCAGGCCGCCAACCCTAGGGTTGCATGAACCCTAGCCCGTGGGCCGGCCCGCAAAAGCTCGTCAAAAAATTGGACCGCAGTGGGGCGGGCCTAATGGGCCTGGCCTGGCCCGCTTTGACAATACTACTTGTCAGCCCTTTTAAAAGATTAACGAGACCCACAAGACCCATCAGTGATAGTTCTTGTCAACTTGTGTTGTTTATTTCAAAAAAAAAAAAAAAAGAATTGTTGAAGATAATTTCTGGCAAGAACAATAAATGCAAATGAGACTAGCACTTCTTGTATACACTTTGACAAACGAAAGTGCTAATTGCGTTTGTTGTATTTCAACAAAAGAATAATAATTCTGAAATTTGCATAAACTCAACTGCGACTTATGTTTCTAACAAAAAACTCAAGTCGTAAACGAGTTTTTCCTCTTTTGTTCAAGTTCTAAAAGTTGTTCATTCTTGTCACTTGTTCATGAAAATAGCCCATTCCAGGGGTCAAAGTCCATATGAAGTCCCTGTACTGTAGTGTTTTATTCAATTGAGTTTTTATACCTTTATTTTGTTCAATTTAGTCCATCTACTTTAAAAAGTGATAAAACTAAGGACAATAGTTAATGGGGTTAATGGCAAATTATTGTGTGGACCATGGTCCACACAATGTTATGTAGACCATAATAAAAAGTACATTTTTAATATACTAAATATACATTATTTTTGTACTGAATGTACATTATACAAAATAATGTAGACTCAGAACAAAAATAATGCACATCCCCTGAATACAATGTACATTATTTTTGTACTGAATGTACATTATTTTTGTATTGAATGTGCATTATTTTACAGTAGACAAAATATGGTCCATACAACTTGTGTGGACTATGGTCCACACAATAATGATTGGGTGTTAATATTACCGTTAGCTTAGCTTACATGGCACTGACATCATTGATGTCGCATCATGATATTTATATTCTTGTTTATATATTAATTACAAACATGCTGACATCAAGTGTCCAAATCTCATTAGGAACATGATTGTAATTATTTATTTTGAATATACTAGTTTAATATATTGGTGGTAAAAATACCAAGACTATGTGGTCTAATGGTACCCGAGTTGGACTTTCATTTGGAAGGTTGTGAGTTCAAGTGTTAGAGGAGGTGTTATTGGTTGTTTCAGTAAGTTGAGAAAGTATATGAATATATTGTAATAGAGCCATAGCATTCAAAAAATAAAATATTGATCGTAAAAATAATTAATTTTAATGATGTCCACGTAGAGAAAATTTCAATTTTAGCCCACTGACTATTGCACTTGTGTTAATTGCAACACCAACACCTGACTTTCAAAAATGTTAATTTAGTACCTTGACTATGCAATTTCTATCAATTTTGGTCACGCCGGCCAAATGAGATCGGAAAAACTTAAACATTTTTAAATTTTTTATTCATGGGGCAAAACAGTCATTTTACGTTAAAATTGTTCGTCACCGACTGGATGTTCTTCTTCGGCGACTAATTCGTTAACGGAAAAAGCAGCCGGAGTAGGAGGAAAACTAATTCGTCGGCGACTGGATATTCTTCTTCGACGTTGACGAGTTCATCTTCATCCCCAAGAAGAGCACGCTCAAATCCGTATGGGATTCCCACTTCGCCTTCACCCAGTTCACGATCAAGCAAATTAAATGCCGATGTCCAACAAGCTCTGCCTCATGGAAGACGTCGGGGTGTGCTTTCATTACTACTGCTACTGCAATTTTTGGACATGGTCGTGCCCAGTAATTGTATGTCATCTGATGAGGAGGAAAATGTAAACGATGTTTACCCAGGATCAATCACCCCACTAAACAAATTATGTTAGCCAAATCAACACAGACGCTACGGAAATCAAGTTCCAACTAGAGATGACTTCGGAAAGGCTTGATTCAAGCCCGAGCTCGTATGCGCCGGCACCTACGGGCACGAATGTCGTCCGGAAATTGTATAAGAAGGGGTAGAAGGTAGAAGCTTTACCACACCAGAAAATAAGCACAAGAGCTCTACACGAAATTTTGGTTTTCAAGCTT